TTCCGTACCCACTGTATATATATATATATATATATATATATATATATATATATATATACTGTATAAAGACATTTTCGAGATTAATTATGACATGTGTTGGCTGTTTTGAGCTTTAAACCTTCTGATTATCAGCATCTGACTTACTCAACCCTGCTGGTACACTCTAAAAAATGCTGGGTTAAATAGGGACAAACCCAGCTATTGGGTTGTTTTAACCCAGCACTGGGTTATATTTAACCCAGCATTTTTTAGAGTGTATATGATGCCAGTATGGTACAGAGTTGCCATCATTTTGCTTTACTTTCTCACTTTTCAGAATATCTAATAAAATGCATTGTCAGAACTAAATAAATTATAGTATGCTGTGCATTTCTACATTTGGATTTTTTTCTGCATATTTGGTATGTCTTAAATGAAAAGTTAAATTGTTTTTGTTTACAGGTCAACTTTATCTAACTTGGATTTTGTTTTCCCTTAATAATAAAACCCTTCATTTAAAAATGGCATGTTGTGTTCACTTGTGTTATCTTTTACTAATATTTAAATTTGTTTGATGATCTGAAACATTAAAGTGTGACAAACATGCAAAAAAATAAGAAATCAGGAAGGGGGCCAACACTTTTTCACACCACTGTATATATATATTCCAAACTTTTGACCGGTAGTATATACTGTACATTATTCTATCTTATGTCGAATAGTTTCTCTAGCTGATCTGACACCATGAGTCAAGAAGATCATTCTGGATGTGGCTGTTAATGAATTGATTGCAATAACATATGTATTTGTGAAATATAAACCTCTGAGGTTTCACCTCATCACCTTTGAACCCAGGTCTTCCCTGTGGATGAGGAACCAGGAACAAGAACAGTGTTGGTCAGAGAGTCATTGATAACACAGACTGTATAAAGTGATCATATGAAGATGTGATGTACCTCTGGACCGTTGATTCCTGGAAGACCAGGTGCTCCTGTTTCCCCCTGTAAAATAAGTCAGACCAACAAGTCAACAACCATAAACTACAGATCTAATCATCGTAATTATTGGCAATTATTTTCACTCTCACCCTTGAGCCTTTTTGACCAGGTGCCCCTTCATAACCTTGCTCTCCTTTTTTACCCTAAACAAAGTAGAGTTTTTCTCAATGACACTAATGAACAAAAATGGCTTCAATTTCATCTCAACGATACTCGCAGGAGCTCCTGGAGGACCGCGTTCACCTCTCGCACACAAACACACCGGTGGCCGTGGACACTAGCAGGAGAAATATAAAAAAAAAACAGGTAGTTTGCAATCAGTATTGTTTAAGAGTTAACCTTTTTTGGTGTAATATGCTTGATAGTTCAGTACTTACTTCATTCTTTGCAATTATTTCTTGAGAAAAATGAAAAGAGAAATAAGAATTAGAACACAAATCTGTGACATCACCAAAACAAATTAAATTTATTGCCGGGAAACTTTATGATGCATTTCTAAGAGACTTGCATTGTGCGATCACAGACAGTGCTTGACATTTTGCAAGCGGCAGCCCCTTCTGTGTTTCTATGGAAAATCCCCCAAACCCACTGATGTGTGAGGCACGCCTCAGGACAGCAGACTGAACACTGGATCTCAAACCCTCACAAATCAAATCTAGACGCCCATTTATTGTCTGACCCAAAATAACAGCAGCATTTTCTGTAGGCTGTGAAAAAGAAAACAAGAGCTATGAATCAAAGCAAAAAGGAATGAGTAGCATTTCAGCTGGAGTCCATATGAAAGTGTATCTATGTGTATAACAAGATATTCTCAAAAGGAGGAAAAACATTTTTTTTTTATTTCAAAATGTGCAAAAGTATGCAATTTGGTGCAGATGTTGATATTTATGTGGACAAAAAGTAAGATGAAATTCTGATCAATGAGATATTTATAAAAGGAGAAAAGGCTACTTACATAAAATGCAGATAAATATTAGTTGTCAGTCCATATCTCCCAATAATATGTCATGTAGGATGCTTATTTAAATGCTTAGTTTTATAATCAAAACTCAGAAGTTTTTATTTGTGGGGGAAAAAACATATAATGCAATGCAATACAATAATGATTGAGACGTCCTTACACAAAAGAAGTGTATTCAAGTGTGCTATACGTCTTTTAAACTAAAAATAAGAAAGGAAACTTTTAGTCTACTTTTTATGAACTTCTCAGAAATATACTTGATGTACTTTGTAGTTGTAAACTAGTTGTGTAAAGTTTACTGCTGTTACACTTAAAGAAAAAAAAGGATACTTAAAGTAAATGTATACTTTTTTAAACTAAAAAGTGGGACAATTTAGTCCCAAGTAGTATTGATATAGTACACTTAAATATAGGTCCAGTACATTGATATTAATATATTTACTACAAGTCTGCTTAAAAATACACTGGAACTTTACTGGAAGTATATTTAATTAAATTAATTTGAAGTATACTTACTTTTTGTAAGGGTGTACAAAAATGTTCCTCAAAAGCCTCATGGATCATATTTGATATATTTTAACACAAGTAAAAAAAAATAAATAAAAAAAAATACTGTATATATATATATATATATATATATATATGGATGGATAATCAAGTAAAGTTTCTTCAGTCCAGTAAGTGTTCATCTTGAAATATTACAATATAAAAGTTATTTTTACTTTTATTTTATAAAAATCAGTAAAGCTTTCACATGATTCTAAAATGTCTTTTACTTGCTAAAAGAAGTATAATCTATCAATCAAACAACAGAGGCATGTAGTAGATTGTGTACAACAGGTTTTTCAATAAAGTTTTAATCATGTTCATAATGTAGAGGCCTTAAAAATGTGTTTATCAAATATGATACAGTAGGCTTTATAGCGTTAAGAGTGATGGGGTACAAATGTCTGTGACCAGTAAGTTAATTATTTTATTTAGCCTTTTTTCTAATTGAGTCTAAAAAATGCTTATCAAAAAATATATTATCAGCATAACAATTTGAGTGAAACGTTTAGTGGCTTATCTGGTTTGACTTTTGGACTTTTCATGAGAAAAGTATTTTATTTAATCTCATTGCTGTCTAGGAGAAACTATTGAGGTATTAAAGATATCTAACTTTAATTTTTGTACATGCAATACTAAGCCAACACAATAAAGATACTCTGACACCAAATGAAACACTGATGTGTTTACCATTGTCCTGTTTTGTGGTGAGGTTGTTCAGTCTTTCTCCAGACTGTCTTCTCTTCTGGCATCTGGTCTCAGGTGCAAGCAGCCAAAGCAACGGGCACAGAGAAAACCCTTTGGCCGTGCTTTCATTCATGTCTAACCTTAAAGACAATCAAAGAAACACTTTCAGACCTTCTGTGCATCTTAAAACTGTCCATGGTGCACATTCTGCATTATAAAGACCAACACAAGTGGCTGATTTTCTTGTTGTTTGAATACACACTTTTTAGTGCTAGAAGTTCCACAAACTGGCGCTTGGATATTTTTAAACAAATGCAATAAAGTTGAATAAATCAGGTGATGAATCCGAACTTGTGCATCAAAACATGTTATTTACAGATCAAAAATCCACAAATACATCATGCAATAAGGTCAGATGCAATGTTCAGTTCTATGTTTAGTTTTGTCATATAATTCTGAAATGTTATTTTATGCAGGTTATTTAGTCATCAAAATGAGTGAAACTAATATCAGAACAATAATATGCAGAAAAGATAAAGCACTTACCTTGCCTGTTATGCAAATCTAGGGAGCATCCACATGCTCATGTCTCCTGTATTGAGCACGTTCTGTTCTGACTGACTTCAGTCCTGCGCTGAACATCAGCCCAACATCACAGACCCAACAATCTGATGCCTGACTGAACACACACACACACACACACACACACACACACACACACACTCTATAGACAGCCATAACTGTGGGGGGAAAAAGTTTATTTATATAATTAGGCTCACACTAATATAATGAAATACATTTATAGTATACCTGTTGTATTATAGTATAAAATATAATACATAAGCTTTATTAGATATTTTGGTAATTCAGTGTGGTGTTAAACAGGAGTTAAGCAATGTAAGCAATGTAAAATCTACTCTTTTCTCATGTTTAAACACACAAAACACACACACACACACACACACACACACACACACACACACACACACACACACACACACACACTCTATAGACAGCCATAACTGTGGGGGGAAAAAGTTTATTTATATAATTAGGCTCACACTAATATAATGAAATACATTTATAGTATACCTGTTGTATTATAGTATAAAATATAATACATAAGCTTTATTAGATATTTTGGTAATTCAGTGTGGTGTTAAACAGGAGTTAAGCAATGTAAGCAATGTAAAATCTACTCTTTTCTCATGTTTATGTCTTTTGGAGATGAATGCTGAGAGATTATTTGGAGGACAATAAAATCTTCCACAAAAGCTTCTGTTCCTTAAACAATTCATATAAACGGCACCCCTGTGAAATCTGGAAAACATGTAGAAACCTCCTGAGATGTGACTCATCAGAAGTGTTCCAAGACTTTTAAAGGGATAGTTCACCCAAAATATTTCATTAATTACTCATCCTCATGTTGTTCCAAACTTTTAGCATTTATTTTTTGAGAAACAGTTATTATTATTATTATTTTAAACAATCATGTGTTGCAGGACCTCTTCTCTTGTGATGTGCATGGAAAGACTTGTCGTATATAAAAGATGAGAGAACAAGGAGACTTGTTGGGACGAGAAAGCTGACTCCACTGTGATGTGACCCTCTCTCTCGCTCTCTCTCTCTCTCTCTCGCGCTCTCTCTCTCTCTCGCACGCTCTCTCTCTCTCTCTCGCTCTCTCACTCTCTCTCTCTCGCACACACATTAGAAAAAGCTCCTAAGCCTAGATTCTATTTTCAGCACATATATCAATCACACCATTGCTTAAATATTAACAAATGAGAGATGAGAAAGAAGTTGATATGAAATATGTAAAGACTCATTAGAGCAGACCTACATAAGATTGTCCATTTAATTAGAGTGGAGCAGAAGGATCTGTGAGCCTATATCTGCATTGCTCTTTAGAGAGGCAAGTGACTGATCTTTTAATTATTGCCTGTTCATTGTCTCTCCTCATCCATCTGAACTTGCCCGGGTCGCTGTGTCAGGGCGCAT